AGACCACGGTCTCAGTATGGTTTTGGCATACGTTTTGTGCAGAAAGGCTGCTGTTTGTTATCCCAAAAAGTGTATTTAATTTTTTTGTGAGCAAAAACATTTGCATTATTTCAATTATTACTTGTATCAAATACAAAATCTAAAAAGATATGTAAAATGTAAACAAACAAAATGCAAAACACAAAATGCATGTAAACACTCCAAAAAACTGGAATACAAAAATTCACATACCGGTAATATAAAGATGACTATTTTAAATGAGTGAGCTATGTTAATGAAACACAAAGTTTAAAATAGTTTAAACAAATGTTATATTTTGCACTGCAGCAATGCATACAATTGAGTCCTCAATGGTTCATTGCTCACTAAACACAAAAGCTGCATTAATGTCTAGCTCGCAAACTGGGAGCTGACTGCTCAGAGAAAGACAGGGAGAGGTCAGCAGCTCCTGTGCTGCACACAGAACAGCTGACAGGCCAGAGCAACTTGGGATTTCCGCAAAATAAATCAGAAAACCATCATTCAAAGACATTTATTTAATTCTGACCACGTCAATTGGAGACATGTTTCCTGACTTCCAAACTTTGGCTGACAACCCAGCGAGCGTTTGGCGTCAGGTGCAGGTGGAGTGGCGCTCTGTGCCAGACAAGATGCAGAGCCATGCGCTCTCACATAAGTGTAATGAATTCATGTAGCCTGTAACTCTGCTCCATGTGTGGCATGGTTTAGAGTAGGAATGGGCGATATAAACTTAATCCACAATAGAGATTTTCCCTCTACTGCAATAGAATGGATTTTTCCAGCTGTACCATGATGGGACGCAGCAGCATAAATGATGTTCAGCGTTTATAGTCCCTGTAGATCAGAAATCGCACTGCCATTTTAATTAATACTGAACCAAACCAGCCTGAACAGAGATTCAAACCGTGCCACCACACATGGACCAGAGTAACAGGCTACAGGAATTAATTATAAACACACCTGTTACCAGAGTGCGTATGGCGCTGCGTCCTGCCTCGCACAGAACGGCGCTCCCCCTGCACGAACGAGAGCTAACAATGCTAACAGTAAATTAGAAAGAGTCAACTCTAAAAATATCTCAAGTTGCTTTTTTCAATTACCACAGATGCTATTGGAGTGAAATGTATTTATCTACTAACAATATCAACTACTGTGTCTGACTCGTCTTGTTATGATTCTAGTCCGAACGAGGAACCAGGGAGGGAATTTTTCTGCAGCACTCCGATTTGACCACAAGATGTCAGTGTTACGTATCCCTCATTAAATTTACAGTCTTTCTCCTGGCATTCAGTTTTAAGTCTGTAAATCTTTCATTTATTCATTTTACCAATTTTGAATTTATTATAATTTAATGTGCACATAAATGGAAGCAAGTGAAAAATTTAAAATTTCAATAAAAAATTTCCACTGTTATGTCAGTGCTAAATAAATATTTCAGTTTTGTTTTATTGCAATGCCTTGATTATAGTGAAGTTGGAATACATTGTAGCCATAAATGCTATGGTTGACTTTTAGCTTATTGACATGCTAATTGACCATTTTTCTTTCAGTGCTGCAGTTTTCAGCCTTGGTTTTCTCATTTTAGGTTTTTGGTTTCAGCCAAGAATTTTCATGTTGGTGCATCCCTAGAAAATAATACCTAATGTCAAAATTAATAGAACTTACTGGCTGGATGTCAATGAAGGCCTTGCGAACCACGCTGCTGGGTCGGAGGAGTCTCCTTCCAACTTTGTATGGTGCAGTAGGGAGAATCAGTGGGAGCAACAACAAAGCGGCATCTTCCTGTTTGTCTGTAAAATGGAAATGTTTCACATTTCTCAAGGTTACCAAACTTAGAAAATGACAACCATAAAATATGAACTGCAATGATTTTGAGGTCAGAACACACTGGCTGATATCTTTCAAAAACAAAGTTGGAACTATTCAAAAACAGAAAAATGGATGGGTGAAAATCTTATATCGCCCACATCAAGTCAGACAGAAAAAACTGCCTCAGATGTTACCATAAAACCTACTGAATACAACAAGTGATATGTTTGTTAAAACAAGGTGAAGTACTCCCATTGGCAACACAAGATGTTTACCATATATTCAGCTCATCTCCAAAGCTCCAGCAGATAATAAAAATTTGTAAGAAATTGTATACAGCGCATTTACTGTCCTCTAATGCCTGCACACCTAATAGGCTACGTATTGACAATGAGATCAAAATAAAAAATTTAAATGTCTCATTGTACTTATAGAGCCTTTATTTAAGCTAATTTTTCAAAGATTGTTTCATAGTTGTTTTTTTTACCGTAAATGACAAGTTGATTGATCTGAAAGAGAAGCAATACACACTGCTTTTTAAGGACTTTCCATTTTTGTCTGAGTTGATGCTAACCTTGCCCTGCAAGATGTTTTCTCGCAAGATTTGGAGTTTTCCAAACTCGTGAGAATCCATCTTGGCCTCCTCCAATCCTGACGGTTCAGCATCAGCTCAATGGTAAACGGACTAATCGTGTGTCAGCATTGTGCTTTTTGGCAGGCGCATGAGCAGCTGTTTGGGCATGCCGACAAACATGGCAGTGCCGGTGGATGTCAGAGCAGTTACTGGTTTCAGAATGGATATAACCTCCAGCAAAAGGTAGGCCTAGGTAGTCTCATTTATAGCTCCAATACGGCGCTATATTGAATATCTGTTTTAGAAAAACTAGAGACTTAGCTGTGATTGGCTAAAGACAAACCATGGTAGCCAGTGTTCGGACACTTGCTGGTGCTTCCTCCAATCAGCTCAAAGTATTCCAGCAGATGGCCCACCCTCCTTCCTAGGCTTTCTAATGCAGCCTGCGGCGGAGATTCCAGATCGAAATATGGAGACTCGACAGGTGGCGGGGCTACATAGAGAGAGCTGACTGCTGCCAGCTTAAGCTGATGCAACTAGAACAGCAAACCTATAGTCCATGACCTCATCTACTTTCAGTCACTCAGAATTATGAGGTAACTGGAATGCACCATCAGAGCTTCAGCACCTGGATTTTCAAGTTGTGTGCTGCTACTTTCTGGAGAAAAGCTGGCTGGCTATGGCTAACCTTACAATTTCTTTTATATTTCCATCCCATCTTCAAGATGTAGCCCATTATAAGGCGTGTAAAGGCTTTTAAATTGAGGACAAAGTGTGGCTTGTATAATTATTATTTAGCTGCTGAGCTACTTTATATTGGTACTGGAAACAGTTGACCTTGTTCTAACAGATATGTCTTGTTTTATTTGTTCAGTGGGGTTTATGTGAACACCTGAAGCTATTTTAACGAGTCTGTTCTGTCTGAGGCGGTTTAGTAAGAAGAATAAAAAGTGTGTTCTTGAGAAATGTCTTTTTATCTAATGTCTGACATCTGAGGTGTTCTTTCTGAGGTCTTACTCATGTATTCTTGAGACCCGAGGATGTCCTAAAATGCACACTGTATAACCGTCCAGAAGGACAATGATCTTGGCAATCCACCAATCAGGCCTGGATGGTAGCATGGTCAGACAGAAGCCACTTCACAGTAAAAGGCTCGTATCAGCGATCCACTTTGAGTTGCTTGAGATAATGGGCTGCACCGCAATGCATGCTACTGGTGCAAATGGCTGAATTAAAAAAATGCACTAGTGTGTTCTGTCCCATATCAGCCTAGCCAAAAATGTTATAGTAAACTCTTGACTCAAAATAAAAATTAAATAAAGTTGACAATGATTGTGAAATGCAAATACCTGCTGGAAGCGAATCTATGTCGATGAGACGGTTAGCTGCGTCTTCTTTTCTGGCCATGCGGATGATCTTTCGGGAGAACACGTGGCTCCACCTTGCAGTTAATTTCTCTGAGGAGTCTGGGTGTAGCACAGAGAAGTCCTGAGAAATCTTACAATGGGGGGGGGGGGGGGTAAGAGACATATTGTTAAACACAAAAACTGATTTGTGAAATTTACTGTATAAGAAAGCTCACCATGCCTGGAGTGTCAACCAAACGTGGAAACTCGGCCATTATTTCTCTGATTGACATTGTCCCATTGCTTCTAATCCACTGGGCTCGTTGGATAGCGGTCTCCAGCATATACTGGGAAACTTGTGATGGTGGCCAGATATTGTTTTTCAGCCATTCTGTCATCTGGATGGCTCGCTCTGGAGATACAGTAGGTTCTGTTGTAGATTAAAAAAGAAAAAAACATTCTGAATAGTGATGACCGATCATGACCTTTACAATTTAAAAATATGTCAGAATTGTTTCATTTCAGCAAATGCCCTAGAGAAAGAGTGCAACCATTAAGTAGACTGTAATGGCGCTTTTACACTTGGGCCAGCTTGTCCCGCTCCACTCCAGCCGGGTTGTGTTCACATGTTGCCGGTGAGGAATTGGGCCATGAGCGGAGCCAGCAGGTGGCGGGAAAGAATGCAGGTAAACAAAGGCAGGAGCAGCATTGGGGAGAGCGGGGGATATCTCGGAAGGAAACAACGCAGAGGAGGTCGCAATTTATTTGTACGTTGTGCGTGGACTGGCTCTTTTTAAAGAAAAAATCTCCTTGTTTGACATGTGAGGAGACGTCGTTCTGGTAGAGAATCACTGGAAGCCGCTCAGCAGAGCTGGGAGAAGGCAGACAGCACATCGGGTGAGCGCCGGTTACAGTTTCCAGCTGCAATGTGTTTAAATCAGTTAGAAAGAGCGAGAGTGACATCACTATGCAGGGCTTATCAGTTCATAGGTGGGCGTGTTGGCCAGAGTGGAACCAAGGTTTCCTCGGTCCGAAAATGGTGTCCGTTCCGCGCAGCTCTACTCGAGAAAAAGAGTGTGAACGCTCTGAGCGGGGCCGTATCATGCGGAGCCGACGCCAGTGTAAAAGCGCTATAAGATTAAGGCAAGTTGGCTTTACCAGGCAAAACAATCTGGCATTTTTGTGGCGCTTGAGGTGTTGACTTATTCTGGGTGTCGCAGCGTGACCTCTTTCGCACATTGCGGAGACATTCCTCTAGGAATCCTGTTGCAGGTCTATGTTTCCTTCCTGGGGTGAACCACGCATCCTAAAGTAAAAACAAAAACACATACACAACAGGAAAGAATACAAAAATAGCAAATTAGAAAATAAGAAAACCAGCACAAGCCTTTGAATGAGGTAGTGGATTCACTTGAAATTTACAATTTATTTATTGGGAGTATCCACTCTGAGGTTTGTGTTTTAATTATATGTTGGTCACACAGTGATAGGCAAGTCAAATTCGTCTGTAAAGCACACTTTCAGTGATAAGGCAATTCAAGCTGCTTTTGAAGACCTGCGATATTCTATAACAGTGCTTAATATTGCGATATTGATATTACTCACGATAAATGAACAAATACTAAAATATGCAGTGTTGATGTCGTCTGGCGTGTGACGTCTTCTCTGGGTTCAAAGCAAACAAAAACTAATGCATGAATTCCATTACAACATAACATTTTTATAGCAAAAACATGCAGCTGCACCTGCTACTGTATTAGTAGCAAAACAACAAACTGCATGCATGCAGTTTCTCAGTGACTTTAAAACATCACCTCCACCATAAAACTTTTTCTGATTCTCCAAATACAGAAAAACATCCCTTACCAGGGTTTTTAGAATAAATACTTTAAATGTTAAATAATAGTTAACATCACTTAAATGCAACAGCAAATTCTCTCATTGCTACTGAACATTTTCTCCACTTATGTGGTTAAGATATAAGGATGTTGCTGTAATTGGAAAGTGAACTGTGCTGGGCCAAACTAGGAGAATATTAAGATTTTCTGAGGGAAAGAGAAAAACAATCGTCTACCTTTCAGAAGAGGAACTGGCAAAAAAACTACATGGAAAATATGTGAAAACGTTTGTTTTTAACCCCAAATTGAACAAGTTTACCTAGATCTTAAAAAGCAGCTCAGATGATGAAACTGCAACTATGATTCTGATAACAAGCTAACTAATTGAACTAGCTCCTCTAAGATAACTGGCTAGCAGAGCTTCTGACTGACAGTTTATGTGCAGCAGCAAATCAACTATCCTGATTAACAAGGTTATAAAAGCTCATAAATGAAAAATCACTTTGATGTGTGGGGGAACTTTTCCAGGCCCTCTTTAGCAGGGTGGGACTGGGAGGAGAGTGCTGTAGCCTTTTAGCTGGAAGCTAACCGGAGCCACCACCCGGTGGAACACTAGCGACATGAAGGTGGGTTGGTTCACCGGCACGTGTCGGAGTCAGCCCGGTAAAAATGATTACGACACCGAGCGGACTCACGTTCACGTTTGAAAGCAGCGCTGATTCCAGAAACCTCAGCACAAAGTGTGTTCGGTGCTCTGAGCCAGAATGACGAACAAGGGAACGGCGCTGCAAACTATGTTCAGCTGTTGCTTTCCAAAAGAGTCTATGTAGGGGGCGGGCGTATTACGTGAACGGACCCATCTGATTGGTCGCATATCAGAAGGACTACATTTGATTGGTCAAATAATACTTCTGCGTAAAAAACAGAGCTGGTTTACAAAAAGCTGATGTATGACACGGATGGAAATGTTTGAACCAAACATTTATCGCTGTTTTTGCCGTGTTTTGCGATGGGCCTATCACACGTCCTGTTATCGCGATGACGATAATTTTTCGATATATTGTGCAGCCCTAATAGATATTAATATAGATGATGGTAGGACAGTTTGCTGACTTTTATGAGAGTTTTAAATGTCCTTTATTTTTGATAACATAATAATGTCATATGAAACGTTACTTACATAGCCTGTGCCAAGACTGTCCTTTAGACATGGAAACTGCTCCACTACTGATGATGCCAGCAATGCCTTTGATTCCGAGGGTGGACTTCAAAAGAAAATTGACATGTTACTTTATTATACACCCAAAACAAAAGATACTTTTGTACACTTATTATGAAACAGCTTTTTTATTGTTTTCAATCATATTTTGAAAACCATAATTTGTGATTCAACACTCCAAATGCTTTGGAAGAGATGGCCATGGTTTAAAAATCTACATTTGTTCACCAACTTTAAATAACATAAAAAAGAGAAGTCTATTATAAGTTTGAAAAGATGCTCACTTCTCTCCAAAGCACTCAATCAGGTGGGACACAAGTATCCTGACCATGGATCTTCTCTCACTTATAGAAATGTGATGGCTTTCTTCAAGGCTGTGAACTATTGCTCTTCCATCAGGTGTTTTGTTGAGTATCTCACGGATATTCTAATAATATGTGAACAGAGAAAAAGGGTCTAATTAAATCTGCAAAGAAACCTAAACCTTCAATACATCACTGGGAAAGGTTAGAGGGATTTTCTGGAGGGAATGATAAGAATCCATTATTACTTCTGCATGGATAGTAAGACTTACAAATGATGTTCCACCCTGGACAGGAGCCACGTGCTGCAATTTGTCAGCTGGTGCACAAACAGACTCCGTTTGTTTAGGGCTTGAATCCTGGTTAAAAAAAAGCAGGGGAAGACCCTACATAACTACAAAAAAATTGATAAAGCATCTATAATTCTGATTGTAGTTTTAGTTACATGGTTCAAATCATAAAAACAATTATGGTATATTTGTCAAAAACACTCAGGTATATACTTACAAAAGTGATGATGATAAAGCTGATATGCAGCTCCACAGTTATATTGATTTTAATCAAATATTTTAATGATTTGAATGTATTTACATTTATTTGTCACAAAAATGAGGTAGTACCAGGTCAAAGCTCAAGACAGTACTTAAAACCCTTTGGGTTTAAAATAGCCTGTACCTCAGTGAAATGTAGAAGTCACTGCAATTCTCCTTGTAGGATTTCACAGCATGGAGAGGGTGATAGTCAGCAATGGAATCAATGTCCACTGCTTCAATCGCTGAGGTAGGGGAAACATTGAAGGCAAAAAAAATGCCTTTCAAAGCCGATTGTTTCCCACTTTTTTAAAATGAGCTTAGTATTCGAACGAAGTACCACAATGCTCTGAATAGTTCCAAACTGAGGCTCGCAGTCATCTGTATGAGACATAAATAATGTCATTCCTGTCCTGTAGCTAGTGCCCTTGTACTTAATCCAAGAAGGCAGATAAACGTCTGTAATAACAGCAACTCCTTCAAACCCAGATTTGACCTTCTCAAAATCCTCTATTGTACCAAGGAGTTTGGTATATCCTGGCCCAACTTCAAACTCATGGCAAAACATCTGGCCTGACAGGAGAGTGTAACACATCATTATTTGATGTCTGTAGGCTTGGGTTTTACAGATATTTCGAAAGTTGCAGGTAACATGACTCACTCTTTTGAAAAACCCATGTTTTGCCTCAAAGCGCATTGACCAGAAGTGAACAACAGGCCCAAGTTTCCGTATGGCTCTGGGATAGTGAAGCATGAAGTGGTGTTTGGGTTTTAGATGTCTGTCTGGGAAGAGCTCTAAATAAAGACAATGGTGCTTCTCAATGATGTGCCCCAAAAAGACTACTGCTCCTTCTGTTAATGAAGGAGAAAAAATAAACTCCATGCAGCTCAACAATAAAAGAAGCAACTCCCAATATTTGTTGTCCTCTGGAATCAAATCCCCTATCATGAGGGGAAGCAGTCTTAGCAGACACCATGTTTGTGAAGCAGATTGCCTAAGTCCAGTATCAGGATTTTTCAAGTCCTGAGGTTTGATGGTTGATGGCTTGTTGTGGACATCACAAAATCCATAGTCAAAGCTTGTCAACCTGTAGTTCAGCTGATCAAGAGTGACAATTTTTTGTTCAATCAATGCATTGAGCACAAGCTTAATTTCATAACCACCAATCCCTTCGAGGATATCATGCATGACATCAGGAGCAACATTGTCAGTCACATGGTAGAACTGCAACTTGTTAAGAGAGCACTCTCTCTTGATGCCAGTTTCAGCTGGTTTGTGTAGAAGCAAGTCTGAGTGGTAGTTAACCTTGTCACGTATTGATGAAGGAGCTTCAACTGTCTGTACCCTCAACACTTCCTTGTGAACTCGACACCACCGACACACGCTATTGCCTGCAAAGCTTTCTGTGTAACCAAGTATTCCATTAAGTCCAAGGTTATCACCACAGACCTGTGCCACTCCAGCCTTAACAATGCCTGAAAAACGTGTGGTTTCAACATGAAAGCCATTCAGTTCCATGTCTTTAATGTCATTCACAATTGGCTCTAAAATTGTGTTCATTCCATATGTTTTTACATCATCAGCTTTGTACACTGCCAACAAGAAGTGAGACTTTAAACTAGACATGTATTCCTGTGGCAAGCATTTCATTGTGAAATAGATAAAACCAAGTTTGTGGACTGATGTTTTTGCGCCAAGTGGATTCACCATCTCACACTCATCACTGTAAAGAACCAATGGAATAGAGAAATCTTTAGAGAAAAGTGGATTAGTTTCAAATATTGTGCCATCTCTGAAATCCTCTAAGGCAGCATTTTCAAGATTTTGCCATTCAAAGATCTTATCTATTGTTCCTGGACTTTCCAGAACAAGCTTCAACATGGGTTTCAAGGGAACATACTGGAAAGTGTCCCGAACTGCAACTTGTTTCACATTTCCTGACTCTCGATCAATTTCTTGTGTAAAGGAAAAGCCAGGGAGTGGTACTGCCTCTGGCTGTATGAAGAACCCAGACTGAGTAAAATATTTCATTTGCTTGTACTCTGATTCAAATCCTTGAAATGGTTCAGCTGCTTTGGTGAACTGCTCCATGAGGTCCTCTGCTTGTGGAGTCTCAGAGTGACCGATCTCTCTTAAAAAAGAGAGTGTTTTTCTCTTTAAGCAACCAACTACATCTCTGATAAGACCTGATGTGTTTTCAACTACATCTCTAATCCCACTGAATGTCTGAGAGGATGTTGCCTTTAACCTAGCTAAGAAGAGTGCAACTCTGTCCTTTATGTTGTCTTCCTCTAGCTCATCCCAATGTTCTGCTGTAGTCTCACAGCATTCCACCTCATTTAGCACACTTAAATGAGGATCTACTGAACTGTCAGGAAGTTCACCTGTGCTACTTTCTTCTGTTTCAATGTCAAACTCAATAGCATGCCCAATTATGTGTCGTCTGAATGATCTTATTTGATCAAAAGTGCGATGGCACCCAACTTGAGCACACTGGAAATAAGTCGAAGTAGAAAGTATATGATGCACCACTCTGAGATGGTTAAAAAAAGCTCTTATGTTATGACCTAAAGACCTATGACATTTAAAGCACACGTACCCCATTCTGTTTTGACCTCTGACACTGGTCATACCTCAAGTAATCTTTTTAAATTATTCTGAATTTTCAGGCGTGGACCCAGGAGAGGTATCAAAGTCGTCAAGCTGTTCGCATCCAAGAGGAAAAGGCTGTCTTTGTCAATCTTTTCAGCTGAAAAAAAGAAGGAAATTTGGATCACTGATCAATAAAACAACAAGCCACACACAGATGTAGGCCTGGGCAATAAAACAGTAACCATATGTACCGCAATGTAACTTTTTCTCAGTAGTAAAATGAGACTCGCAATATAGTTTGTCCATCTTTTTTTTCATAGCCAACTGAATTACACTATTAAAATAAACTATACCAGGACAGATTGGGAGAATTTGCTTTTAGTTTTTAGCTTATTCATTTGATATTGACAAAACGTTCGACAATTTATTCTCCTGTAAAACTTATTGTATCCTGAGATTTATTTTTAGTCAATATTTTGTTTCTAAGTGGAATTGACCAAGCAGTTAGGTCATTTTTTGTTCTCTTTTGAAACTTGAAAGCTTTAGTCCTGACTTTAGTTTATAATATTATGAACCTTTATTATTTTAGTCACCTGAAACAGATGTTATGTTCTCTCAGTACGACTGTCATGTTGAACCTTTGACAGGAAACTAATATTTAAATATAAAAGCAGCTTCTGATGATTTCACATTTAACTTTTAAGTAACAGCCCATTTAAATTTTACACAGAGTTTTTTGACTTATATTCCAATCTAATCCAATCCAATTTTATTTATAAAGCGCATTCAACATGGCATTACAACCAAATAAGGCGCTGTACACCAAAAATATATATTGTAATATATATATATATATATATATATATATATATATATATATATCGACATTGACAGAAAGGAAAAAGATGTATCGTGATATGAAAAATCTTATATCGCCCAGCTTTACACAGATGTAAATATGAGTACTGGTAGTTACAGTTTTTTACTTTAATTACAGAAATACATTTACTTTATCATACCTTCAAAAGCAGGGATGTATTCAGAGAGGTTCCATTCCAGAAGTTTGTCCTTCACAAATTCATCCATCTTTTAGAAAAAAACAGAAATCACATTTGGTTGCTGTATTTTTTTAACAGTTAATCACCAATATTACTTGCAGTTAATTAACAATTGAAGTTTACAAAGGATTATACAACAAAGCAGAAGCAGTATTTATCAACAATTAACACTTGAACTGTGCATTTAACGTCATCTGTTTGGTAAGATGCTGCTAAATCAGTAGCCAGTGAGCTCACCTGTCCGTTCCCTGTTTCAATCTGTTGTGTCCTACAAGCTTATTATTTTATAATGTCCCAAACACTTGCTGAAATTAATTGTTTTCATCTGGTAATATTGCCCACAACACTGGAGAGGAAATCTTCCGCGCTGTTCACAGCCATGCTGCTACTGTTAAACGCTAACAAAATAAAACGTATGCAAGTAGGGAGTAGCATAGATCATCTTTGGGCAGATTATCAAAAATAGAGCGCGTCCAGATCGTTTCAAAAGCTAACACATTATCTCAAGGATTCTGAGGATTGGATGACAATCCTCAGAACTTCCTGACAGTTTTGTGGGAATATCTACAGTTATAAATTAACATCCAACTTTGTTTTGGTACACATCTACATATATTCAAGCTTTAACATACCTTGAGTGAAATAAACCGGGCATTATCATGAAACTCTGGCTCCCATGATTCGGATGGATTATCAAGCAGTTTACCTTTGGCGTGCTTCATCAGCTGGAACCTATTAACTTTCACGTTAATGTCCGCCCGTTTATTTGTGCGCTGCTGCACACGACTCTGACTGACACTGATTATATTTTATTTCACCGCTATGTAGCGCGAGCTGTTGTCAACTGAAAGCAGTAGCAGTTTGCGCGTTGCGCCGCCATTTGTTTGCTCCCCACCCCAGGGACAGGGGTTGTGGAGTTGGCGCGCGTGCCGTTATGTAACATGCATATGAACCTGTGAACGTAATCTGCCCGGCAACAGTTACAGTAGCGGGAAAGCTGCACGCAACCACTTAGATAAGCTATTATTCTCCTGTAGCACTATGCCTATTGGTCTCCTGTCTCATTTCCCCACAGAAATGTATAGTAGAATTGGTACTACCAAAGAAGTAGTGCTGAGCTACACAAGTAGCGGGAGGTATTGCACAGACCGCAGCATAAAGAGCCCCTGCTGCTAGTGGGGATGCTATGCATAGTAAGCCTATCTTCCTGAGCCTCATCATGTCTAACAAACAAAGGGAGGGTGGACAAATGGTAAAACACTGTCTGGAGCAGATAGTTGTGTCACAGATTTTCTGTTCCATTATATCTAATGAAGTAGATTGATGCTAGGAAGCTATAGCTAGCTAGCTACTCGAAGCTATATTCGGTTGAAAATCTCTTGTAGGCTTAAAATCTCTTTGTTTACTGCATTACCTGCCTTCAACTGCTTTACCAGAACACATTTTCAAACTCCATCATCAACATCTTACCTTATTTTTAAACATTGCTGGTGTGAAGGTCCATGGAAATGAGGCAAGTCCTTGTCATCCTCCACTTTAAAATGGTGAAGCTGGCACAGACGAGGGGGAGGATCTTTCTTTTTACCGCCCCTTTTAACCCAACATGCTGGGTCAAAATGTTTGACCCAATGTTGTATTAAATTGACCCAACTGCTTAAAAATCAGCCTTAACCCAGCAGTTGGGTTAGCAAAATAACCCAGCATTTTTAAGAGTGTAGTTTAATTACAGTTTGATTTATTTGACATCTGTATAATGTTTATTATTTTGTTTTTTCCCCCTAAATACCTAACGTTTGAGTTTAACATGAATATCAGTCATTCATCCCAATACATGAAGTTACACATTTTAAATTTTAATAGGGGAAGACTGCAGGAGGGAGCGGTAAAAGCATAGACTGTACATACTTGCTACCCGCCGGCTGTGATCACAAGCGACAACATATTAGTTCCCGCTGCTTCTTCGGTAAACAGCGCAAACAAAAACAAAGAAACTTGGGATCTTGTCGGCGTGGCGGTGGGATTTAAGGGAAACGCTGTATGCCCTATAGACTTCTCACCGAGCTGCAGTATTTCTCCGGTCAGATCTGTCTCTGAGAGCTCCAAGAGCGGTCAGCCCGCGCAGAAACTAGCCGCCGCACAGGTCAGGCTGCCTGGCCTGACCGCTGGGGATTACCGGATGGAAGAATGGACACAGGTGTCACTCCAAGCCTGCTGGAGATTTTAAGGGTTCAGATGAAAACACCCTACCACTCAGGCTGCTTACACATCGATATTAAGTTGTCGCTGTTGCGCTCACGCCGTAATACAGTATTAGATGCGGTTAAAGTCAGACATGAAAAACTCCACGAGCGGTCAGACCGCGCAGCAGCTAGGCGCAGCAAGTAGGCGCCGGATCGTCCAGGCTGCCCGGCCTGACCGCTGGGGATTACCGGGTGGAAGAATGGACACAGAAGTCTCCCTCTTTGCGCTCCGTCATATTTCAACCCATTTTGATCTTTTACCATATTACCCATCTGAATATGCCCTATTAATTATTTTACCGTATTTTACATTTAAATTTCATGGTTAAACAGTACATGCTACATGTTAAACTGATAGTTAGCTAGCTACTTCGGTAAACTCAGCTAGTTTAAAGGTGGCAGTGACATAAAATACGAATATAGATTTTAACTTACCGAAAAAAATGAAGTGGAGACTCCTTGGACGCTCTATTAGTGCAATTAATACCACAGCAAGTCATTTTGTCCAACAATTGCACCAATAATATCCAAAACAGAATTCACAAGCACAGAGACTCAAAATCCCGAAACAGCTTCCAGGAGGGGCCGAGGCTGTACTGAGGCCTTTCCACGGAGCTAGCTCTGTGGTCACGTGGGTCTGAGGCGGCGGTCACGTGTGTCGGATGCTCATTAATTATACAGAATTTTAGGCTTTCAATACAGAAGAGTGAGAAAAAAATTCACCCCCCTCAGAGTTGTCATGAGTATAAACTAGCTAATTTAGACAAAAAACATGTTTTGGCACCAGGCTGTAAACATGTTTATTTCTGCTGTGAAATCGGCATTTTTAACATGGGAGTCAAAGAGGATTTGCTCGCTTCTGGCACCAGCCCCCAGCGGATGAGGGTGGAACTGCAATTTTTCTTACTTCCGGGATGGGACCATTTTTAGAGCGGCATTGTGGGGGCTCTCAATTCAGGGTCTGCATCCTTCGAAGGACGCAGCCCACTCGGCCGACGTGGGCTGCGTCCTCCGTCGGCCGGGTAGACCGGATGTTAACGGCTGTGAATTTGGACAGGCCTAGCCTTCATGAACTCCCTCCGCGAACGTTCCGTCGCCTAGCAACCGTGGAACCGCTGGGCAGAAGGGAGAAGGAACTTTAAACGATGGAGCTTGACGTTTTATTTAGCTTTTTAACCCCCAGAGACCCAAATTTAGAAAACAACTGCAAAATCTTTATTTAACCTTTCACATGTTGTTCTAGGCCAGATAAACGGGCCTATTTACACATTTTAACAGTCAATAGTGTTGCAGAACTGAACAATAGGACCTATTAGCAATGTAAATGTAGTTTTAAAAAGAAAAAATGGGGAAGGTTTATTCTTGTAGACTTAAATCTGATGTTGTAATGTTACAACCGTGGGTCTCTGGGGGTTAATCATTTCCTTGACTGTTGGAGAACTAATTCAGAGAAAATACTTTAGACAAGCTGAGCCTGAGCAAAGATGTGATAATAGTTTTAAATACTTTCTAAGGGTCTTAATTTGACCAAAACCCATTTATCAACTTTTAAGACTTTAAGACCCAGCGGATACCCTGTAATATTGAACAATTCTCATTTGTAAACAAAAATAAAATTCAAGAGTTTAATGCAGAACTGATTTTATTTAGATATTTCTTTTATATGTACATGTTTAATCTTTATTAACCATTTTTTTCTAGCAAAGTAAAAAGCTGTCAAAGTTATTCCTTCTCTCCTGGGCCCTCTGCCTCCCTCTGCAGCCTCATGTTCTCCCTGATCAGATCCAGAAGCTGGTCATCGCTGGCACCTTCCCCTGGATGCCCATTTTCTCCAGAATAGTCTTAACAAACATGTAAGAAAAGAAACAGGAAGAGAAAAGAGGACAACGGGTTATTCCTTTCATGTTTTCGCAGAAAAAATAAACTCAAACGAGTTTTTAAAATATGAGATGTTATTGTACCTCCATGCCACAGCCGCCGAATACTTTGCTCCGGTGATCATGTGGTCCATCTCCGCCCTAAGCTTAATAAATTCCCTGGTTTTCTCTTTTGTTCCTAAAATACAAACTTCTATTAAAATCAGGGGGAAAACGTAGCGGGAGAAATACGACACCGAGCGCGGCCGAACATACGAGCCGAGACCGCAATACAAGCACTTTTACTGTAACATTTCTAACTAAAATAACGTTCATGTATCACAAAAAGTCATTAACCTAACAGTTTTCAAGTTTATACTGACATTTATATGCGCAATCCTCTCCGACAGCTCCCGCTTCACTGTCCGCCATTGTTTTTAAGTTTTTCTGCTGGCCGGCCCGCAAGGCATCTTGGGAAATGCTACCTGTTGAAGGATACACCGGACCCATCCTTCATTCAGGCGAAAAGAAGGCCACATTCGTCGACCGCATTTGAAGGAGTCTTCGAATTGGGACAGGCCTAGTCGCGGCGCTGTGACGTAACCGGCCGACGAATCCGGCCGACGTAGGATGCAGACCCTGAATTGAGACACAGCCACTAAGCTAATCAGGCAGCATCTCGTGGGTCTTCAGCGTTTGTGAGATCATACAGGTGACTCCAATTCCTTTACAAACCTTAAGGAATCACGTGGTAATCTCAGATTGTTTCATGGATTTTTTTACCTTAAACAACGGAATGACTGCTGGTTCCATGTACACGTTACTATAGAGCATTATTACCTTGTAGATTATTAGAATAAACAAAATTAATTTTGCTTTTTTAATTAGATCTTATAACTTCCTCGTGAGCATAAAGTGGGTGTAAAAATTAAAGTGGGTTGTTTAGGCTAATAAAATGTGCATTTGTTTATTCAACATAAGCCTGACAAAGCAGGTATGAAAATGTCAGTTATTGTTATTTTAATTATTCAGATTTTGTTAACAAGTCCCTTGGTCAGACATTTATTTACTGTAGAGTTTACTACTGATAACCTCAAATAGGCCCGGAGTGGCTAATCGGGGTGTGGACCGCAAGGCGCGGTGTTGTTTTTGTTTGTTTGTGTGTTTGTTTGTTTGTTTGTTTTGGACCGGTGCTCAGTCATCATGCCACTGGGCTGATCCCTAAGACTGCCTACCTGCTGAAAGGGCCTCTCATGTCAGGTACAAAAACAAAAACATATTTTTTATAACTCGTCAGTTCTTGTCTTCTTCTCTTTTTCTGTTGGGGTTAGGGTTCAGTCATGGCTTTGATCAGACCGCGCTGTCCCCGGGCCGCCTCTGCCTTTTTTCTGCAGGCGCTTCCAGACGGAACACTTCAGGTGACTCTGGGTGGGAGAAGCAGGACTCAGGAGGAAAACTCTAGAAACAGACGCCACTAAATGTGCAAAATGGGCATTTTTCACTAAAACGTGCTATTTCCGGAGTCAGCAGCAAGACCCAGCAGCTTCAGTAGGTAGGATCACTCACTCACTGAGGGAATATTATGAGAATGAATAATGGAAAGGATTACAAAGACCTGCTCTATTAAAGAGGTCCAGATGTTGGCTCTGTCCGGTTCGGTCCGGACCTCACGGTAAAGCCAGGGGTGCAGACTCTCCCACCAGATCCACGGTGCAATTCAACCTGACAACAGTTATCTTTATTTTCATTTACATGAATGATCATGAGGAATCATCTGGACAAATGTGAAAGAAAAAAATCTGTAGAGAAGGAAAATGGAAAGTGTAGGAGAAAACGAGGATGTACTTCTTTAGTAAATGTTCACTGATGAGTTTTCGTGTTTGGGAAATTACAAGTGAGGTCAATCACAAGTTGTGTTTTCATAAAATAGTGTTTCCATCTGAAAATAAGTCAGGGTTTTATTTTAACTTTATTTCTCAGTGTTGCAGCTGGATGCTCTTCTGCGCACCTCTAACAGGTTACCAGACATTTGAGATTATTTTCTAGTTATTCAATTAAATTATAATTGTATAATGAATATTTTTCTAAAGCAAAGTTTTAATAAGTTATTAAATCAGACACATCAATGCCATAGACACAATCTCTGTCACACCGCTGCATCTTTCGGATCATTACTTCATCCATTTCAGCACGACTCTACAAGGGAGGTCCACTGCTTCCTCCCCAATGGTCTCATTCCGCCGCAACCTCCACAATCTGGCACCCAACTACTTCTCCTCTCTTGTTGCCTCCACTCTTCCATCTCCCAGCACATTCTCTGCTTATGAAGTGAATGAAGCCACCTAGTCACTCTGCTCCACACTCTGCTCTTGTCTTAACAACGTGTGCCCTTTAGCCACTAGACCTGCTAGATCCTCTCAGTCGCACTCTTGGCTAAATGATACCCTCCGGTCTCTACGCACCAATCTTAGAGCTGCGGAACGGAAATGGCGCAAAACAAAAGATCCTGGTCATCAATTGAAATTTCAGGAATTACTGTCCTCATTCTCTGCCAGCATCACTGATGCAAAGAAAGCTTTCTACACTGACAAAATTCTCAGCTCTATTGACTCAGAAACTTTTTTCAACATTCAAAACTCTGCTCAACCCTCCATCTCCACCTCCTACCAACATTCTATCAGCTGATACCTTTGCCTCATTTTTCACTGACAAAGTGGCAGCTATAAGCAAACAGTTTACTCAACTGGACACTCCTGAACATTCGCAACCACAAACTCCTTCTAGCCCAACCATCTCAGGCCCTACTGCTTCATTTTCCTCTTTTTCCCCTCTCACTGAGAATTGTGTGTCCAAGCTTCTCACGTGCAGCCGCCCTACTACATGCCCACTTGACCCCATTCCAACTAAGCTGCTCCAAGCTATTGCTCCTACAGTAGCCGCAGCAGTCAAACGTGATCAACACTTCACTGACATCCGGTACATTTCCCACCTCTCTCAAGCATGCTCAGGTTAAACCGCTGCCAAAAAAAACATCTCTTCCTCCAAATCACGTGGAGAACTACCGACCTATCTCTCTCCTCCCTTTTCTGTCCAAAATCATTGAAAGGGTGGCTTTCAAGCAGATCACAGAATACCTCTCACAAAACTGTCTGCTTGACCCTTACCAGTCTGGGTTCAAACAGGGCCACTCCACTGAAACCGCTCTGTTAGCAGTGACTGAATCCTTAAAAGAAGCTAGAGGGACAGGCAAATCCTCAGTGCTTATCCTGCTCGACTTATTGGCTGCATTTGACACTGTCAACCATGGCTTCCTTTTGTCCACACTCTCTAGCATGGGCATCACAGAGTAAGCACACGCCTGGTTTGAATCGTACCTCACAGGACGATCATTCAGTGTATCTTGGCTTGGACAATCCTCTACCATGCACCATCTTGCCACAGGAGCCCCCCAGGGCTCTGTACTAGGACCTCTTCTCTTTGCCACATACACCACCTCACTGGGTGAGATCATTCGATCACATGGCTTCTCCTACCACTGCTATGCAGACGACACCCTGGTCTATCTGTCATTTCCACCGGACGACCACACTGTCTCTGCATGAGTGTCAAACCGTCTCTCTGACATAACAAAATGGATGAAATCCCACCATCTCCAACTCAACCTCTCTAAAACTGAACTACTTGTCATCCCAGCAAAACCATCCATACAGCATAATATCGCAACCAAAATGAATTCCTATTAGAGCCCTGCACGGGCCTAAAATCTGAGCCCGTGTCCGGCCCGGCCCGAGGGGGTGGAGCCCCAGCCCGACCTGGCCCAAAAAGGTTTTCAGGATTCTCTAGCCCGACCCGAGCCCGAGCCCGACTTTTTTTTAACCAACTAAATGAAAACAAAGTGTGTCAATCCTGACCAATGTGTTAAAAGACGTGCAGGATCCGATCAATTTGTTTTTCCCTCATTTACCGTCACGGAGATGATGGTGCACTGGCTCTGGTGGTAATCAAGTTAAATTTTATCTCTTTCCAACAATTTTCACAAGAAAACAAAACAGTTAAAAGCAGGGCTTGTGTTGTGTTGACCAGATAGTTCCCGTATTTGATGGTTTATTTTGACGGAGAAAGAATAGGAAGAATTACCCCGACGCATGCAGACGAACTGACATTTCATTCCACGCACATCGCAGATGTTGCTAAATCACCCAAGAAAAGATTCCCATCTGAACATCTGAGCTGCACACTGCTCAGCGCAGCTCGCTGTCAGCGCATATGTGCACAGCGAGCTGAAGTTGTGGAGATTGGCTTGGAGCGCGTTGCAGAACCAGAGCGCATGCGGGAAGGTTCCTCCCACTGAAGCGAGTATTTTCCAAACCCTGTCTCTCAGAGAGACTTGTCACTTAGAAAATGTTCCCTGATTATGAAACTTTGGCTGAATAGTGCTTGTTCTTGTCTCCGATATGGTGACGCATCCAGGAGCCGTCTGAGGAGAATCCCAGAATCTCACATCCTCTTCAGCTCAGGAAGCGCCTCTGATTTTGCACAAGCGTGACCCATCAACCCGGTCTCACAGTAAGACTGGGTTGGGCCTGTTCAGGTTTACGCAGACAATCTTTACATAGAACTGACATACAGATATAAAATTAATTCAGTAAAATATAAAGCATTTTATTTAAATATCCATTCATTATTTTACTAGCACAGAGAGCCGCATCAGATTCAGATCAGCGGGAAGATTCCTCCGACTGAATTCAGTCGGAGGAATCTTCCTGCATGCTCTCTGGTTCTGCGACGCGCTCCAAGCCCCTCTCCACATCTTCAGCTCGCTGTATACCTTATGTAGTACACGCTGACAGTGAGCTGCGCTGAGCAGTGTCCAGCTCAGATGTTCAGATGGGAATCTTTTCTTGAGCGATTTAGCTACATCTGCGATGTGCGTAGAATAAAATGTCAGTTCATCTGCATGCGTCGGGGTAATTCTTTCTATTCTTTCTCCGTCAAAATAAACGGTCAAATATGGGAACTGTCCGGTCAACACAAGCCCTGCTTTTACCTGTTCTGTTTTCTTGTGAAAATAGATAAAATTAAACTTGATTAACACCAGAGCCAGGCGCACTGCGCCGTTATCTCCGTCACTGTAAATGAGGGAAAAACAAAATGATCGGATCCTTTTCTGACCTTCCCCACCTACAAAGTTTAATTACAACAATCAAACGTGACAGAGCCTGGATTTGTATTCTGAACAGTCTAAACATGTTTTAAAAAGAAACGTATGACAAACGTGGCACCTGCTCAGTAAAACCACCAACAGGGTGAAAAATATCAAAATATTGTCGGCAGAGACGGGCTACAGCTTCTGGATCCATTTTATATAAATCGTTTTATTATCGTCTTATGAAAGATAACTTTGACGAACACGAGCGACCGGTACTGGCTGTTGTCACCTGTTGTGAGCAGCGCTCTGCTGTCTGAGGGTAGGCCCCGCCCACAACGCCGCGGCTGCTGTGGCTCCCAGTGTTTTCTTTACTGTGGGAAATGGGTAATAATGGCTCTTTGATAGGAACAGGTTGCCGACCCCTGGTTTAAGTGTTTCAATTTTTTTTTTTCAATTTTTTTAATGAATTCGATTAAAAATAAAGGC